CGTTCTTCTCTGTGATCACTCGTTGGTAACATCGGAGTGTTGCCATTGCGTCGGTGCTTTATTTTGGGTTTAGCAACAGTATTTTTTTATTTCTTTTATTATTTCCGGGTTGCTACGGAGCGTGCAAAATGGACTTTAATAGATAGAATACGTGAGATTTTTGTTATATATATAGAAAGGATGTGTCAGTCGTCTGTGTTGTTTTATATCAATTATCCTTAAAATTTGGCGCATTGAAAACCTGATTTGATTTTTGTCCTTTGATAAACTATGGTATTATCTTCATTTCTCTATTCATATACAAAGAGGGAATAATGAGGATAAAAAAGAGCATAGTCCTCCTCCTCTTCCTCTTCCTCTTCCTCCTCGCTCCTCCTCCTCTCCTCCTTCTCCTTCTCCTCTCCCCCTCCCCCTCCCCTCCTCCCCCTCTCCCTCCTCTCCTCCTCCTCCCCTCTCCCCTCTCCCCTCCCTTCTCTTCTTCCTCCTCTCCTCTTTTATTCCTCTTTATCCGAAAAACAGTCGAAGAAATTCCTATTTCCTCCGGTCCCGAGATTTTCTTCTCCTGTTTCACGGAAGAATCCAAGACGCTGTTTGCTCCTTGAGTTTTAATTTTGCGTCCCGAGAGCATCAGGTTGGTAAAAAAAACGAAAATAAGAGAAGATTTTTTTTTTTTTTTTTGGGGGGGGGAGGGGTTCTCTCTTTGCCTGTCTTTGGGTCAGTTTTTTGTGTGCGTGTTTGTCTTTGTTTTTTGTTTGTTTTTCTTATATAATATTTTATATATATATAATATATATATATATATATATAAATCGATAACGATAATGATATAGATAGATACAGTACACACGACACAGCACGCACACGCACACTACACACCACACACAACACACACACACTATAACCCACAGTCACACACACACATTTATATACATATATATGTATATATATCTACACTCCGTATGCAAACATCACTGTATATTCTTTTCATCTCTCTCTTCTTTCTTTCTCTTTCTCTCTCTCTCTCCTCTCCCTCCTTTCCGCTGCTCCCCCTCCCTCCCTCCTCCACTCCCCCCTTCTCCCCCCTCCCCAAAGCTTCTGCTCACCTGCTCCCCTCCAGTTCCTGCTTATTTCAAAGATACTCGAATCCTCAACATTTCGCAGATCTCATAATCCTTCGCCAATCCCGCAGCTGTTCGGATCTTCGCGTTATGCAGATCTCGAGTTCGCTTCTGAGTCGAGTGCTTCAGCTTCAGCCGTAACTGAGGCGGTGCTTCGGAATGTTAATGTTCTTGAAATGTTCTTAGAATGTTCTTGTTCTTAAAATGTTCTTAGAATGTTCTTGAAAATGTTCTTGAAATGTTCTTAAAATGTTCTTGAAATGTTCTTGAATGTTCTTAAAATGTTCTTAAAATGTTCTTGAAATGTTCTTGAAATGTTCTTAAATGAAATGTTCTTTGAAATGTTCTTGAAATGTTCTTAAAATGTTCTTGCCATACTTGACGAGTCTCGGTCAAGAGCCAGTCGTTAAAAGATGCAAGGAAAGATAAGGAGAAGAAAGGGATGCAAGGGAAGAAAAAGAAGTTTTTAAAAGGGGGAAAGAGAGAAGGAGGAGAAGAAGAGGAAAGGAAACGAAGACAGGAATGAGAAAAAAAGGAGATGAAAGGGGAAAGAGAGAAGGAGGAGGAGGAAGAAGATGAAAGGAAAAAACGAAGAAGGAAAGAAAAAAAAAGAGATGAAAAGGGAAAAGAGGAGAGGAAGGGAGAAAGAAGAGGAAAGGAAAAGGAGAAAGAATAAGAAGAAAAAAAGGAGATAGAAGGGAAAAGAGAGAAGGAAGGAAGGAGAAAGAAGATGGAGGAAAAGGAGAAGGAAAAAGAAAAAGGAGATGGAAAAGGGTAAAGAGAGAAAGGAGGAGGAGAAAGAAAAGGAAAAGGAAAAAGGAGAAAGGAAATAAGAAGAAAAAGGGAGATAGAAAAGGAAAAGAAGAGAAGAAGGGAGGAGAAAGAAGAAGGAAGGGAAAAGGGAGAAGGAAAGAGAAAAAAGGAGAATGGAAAAGGAAAAGAGGAAGAAAGGAGGAGAAAGAAGATGAAAGAAACGGAGAAGGAATAAGAAGAAAAAATGAGATAGAAAGGGGAAAAGGAAAGAAGAGGAAGAAAGAAGATGAAGGAAAAAGGAGAAGGAAAGAGAAAAATGGAAGGAAACAGAGAAGAGAAAAGAAGAAGAAGGAAAAGAAAAACAAGGAAATATAAAGAAAAAAGTTAGAAAAGGAAAAGAGAAAAGAACGAAGGAAGGAAATATGGAAGGAAAAGAAAAAAACAGAAAAAAGAAAAAGAAGGAAGAAAAGGAAAAAAGAAATTAAAAAAAAAAGAACAAATCTATCCTATCTGCCTCCTCTCTCTCTCTCTATCTATCTACTTATCTATATACGCAATACCTTATTCACAAACAGCATTACCACCTGCCTACCTCTCCTGCCGTTGTTACCATAACCCCAACTCCCAGAAGATCCACAGAAACCGTACTTATCTACCTTCATAAGAACGATAACCTCCATATTTCTCTCGATATTCCCACCTTTAATTACCTTTCCAACCACAAGCATACGAATTCAATCACGCAGGTCGTTGCTCTCACGCCACGCCCATTTCTAGGAAGGTCTAAGAACCTCCCTAGGACTTATTTCGCTCCGCCCACTTCAGCGTCTTACTACCTTGTCTGGGTAAACAAATTTTATCTCGCGGTTGTTTATTTATTTTTTTCTGTCTTTGGAATGGGGAAGGAGAAGGGGAAAGTAAAGAAGGGAAAGGAAAAGGGGAAAGAGATGGAAAGAGAGGAAGAGAAAGGAAGAGCAGAAAGATAAGGATGAAGATGAAGATGAAGAAAAAGAGAAAGAAATAGAGTAGAAGCGGAAGGGGAGGGAGAAGAATGAGAATGATAATGATAATGAAAAGAGGGACAAGGAAAAGGAGGAGAAATAAATGAATATGGAGATGAAGAAGAAGAGGAAGAGGAAAAAGAATAAAGAAAAATAAAGTGCTGAGGGGAAGAAAAAGACGAAAAAAAAAAAGAAGAAATATATTTCCACAGGAAGAAAAGTAGAAAAGCATCGTACAACATATCACTATAATCTACTGTCTGGCATTAACCACCCACCCCCCGCTATTCTCGTTTTCCCTTTAGTTTCCCCTCCCTTTTTTTTACCGCGAGAAGCGTATCCCATTTTCTTTTTTTTTGCTGTCATAACAATAAAAAGAAAACGGTAGTTGTCGGTTTCTCGTTTGAATTCATATCTACCAAAGGGTTTGAGAAATGGTTCTCTACCAGAAACAGACAGACCATTTTTTTTTTCTTATTCTAAATTTCTCTTCTTTTTTGTATTCTCGGAAGTATTATTGTTGATTTAAGAGGGAAAGATAGGGGGTGAGGGTGAGGGAGAGGGAGAGGGAGAGGTAGAGGAAGTCGGTGTGGGACAGGGAGAGGGTGAGGTGAGGAGAGGGAGAGGGAGAGGAAGTGGGAGTGAGAATGAGAGTGGGAGGGGGAGAGGGGGAGGGTGAGGGTAGGGTGAGAATAAGGTAGAGGGAGTGGGAGTGGGGAGGGAGAGGTTAGAAGTGTCAGTCACAAAAGAGAGATTGATAATAAATAGATGAGAGAGAGAGAGAGAGAGAGAGAGAGAGAGAGAGAGAGAGAAGAGAGAGAGAGAGAGAGAGAGAGAGAGAGAGAGAGAGAGAGAGAGAGAGAGAGAGAGAGAGAAAGAGAAAGAGAAAGAGAAAGAGAGAGAGAAGATAGAGATAGATAGATAGAAAGATAGATAGATAGATAGATAGATAGACTGAAGAGAGAGAGAAAGAGAGAGCAGGAAACGCAGTCCCCAAAATAGAGAAGGAAAGACGCGAAAAGAAAGTAAAAAGTAAAAAAGTAGCAATAGCATGATGGAGGAGGGAGGGCAGAAGCAGTGATAGATGAGCGAAAGATGATGTTGATGGATGGGGAGCAGGAGATGAGGAGATGAGATGATGAAGGCAGGGGGGGGGGGAGGGGGAGGAAGGTGAGGGAGGCCGGGAGGGGAGGAGGGGGGGGTTGGGAGAGGGCAGGCGGGGGGGAAGAAGGTGACGGAGGTCGGACTGGGGGGGGGGGGGGGGGGGGGAGGGGGGGGGGTGGAGAGGAGGTAAGCGCGGATTCTGAGCTGTTTGCATGGGGAGGAAGTGTATTTTAAAACATTTTACTCTCGGCCTGTCTCTCTCTTTCTCTGTATATTTACGTAGGTGTGTATCTGTCTACCAACTTGTCTGTTTATCTGTATGTCTACGTAGCTATTTATCAGTCTGCCAACCTGTCTGTCTATCTATCTGTCTATATAGCTACTCAACTAGTTATATATCGGCACACGCTATATACAGTACACACACGCACGCACACGGACACACAGCACGGCACATGCACACACACAACACCCTTATCTATCCTTATTCTATCTATTTATTCCTTTATCTACCCCTTTCAATAGTAGCAGATGGAACAACGACAATAAAAGCAATTACAATGCCACTTAAAGATGAAGGCAGAGGGAAGAGAGAAAAAAAAATCGCACCGCACCCAAACCATCGTCTTTCCTTTAATAAAGCTACAACAAACACTAAAAAAAAAATAAGAAAGCAAAAAACAAAAAAATGTACAAAGAGAGAAACATCAAACCAAGTAAAAAAAAAAAAGAAGAAAAACAGCATACTCAGACCATTTCCTTCCTCCCAAAACAACAAACGAAAAAAAAAAAAAAACAGACACAGACACACGCCCACGTCTCAAAACAACAACACACGCACAACACAAAAAACGCATACCCCCCCCCCCCAAAAAAAAAAGAAAAAAGAAAAAAAAAAAAAAAAAAATAAAAAACAAACATACAAAAGAGGAATTCAAACCAGTCTCACATCTCGAAAACACCAACAAACACACAAAAAAAAAAAAAAAACACGCCCCAATTTCACCCTCCCTTTCTCCCTCAG